ATTTGCTCAAATGTCCTTGCACATAGCAGCTGGTTTCTCTCAGAGTGAACCAAGAGAGAGAGCAAGATGGAAGGCACAAATTTTCTTATGAACTACTCTCAGAAGTCACATTTCATTATTTTCATCTCATTCTATTTGCTAGAAGTAAGTCATTAAGTACAGCCCCACACTCAAGGAGAGGAGAATTAGACTCCAGTGAAGTCAGGAGTATAAATGACTTCGTTTATATATTTTATTAAAACCATTACAATTCACTACTCTTTGGACACAAATTATTTACATTTTTCTCACATGCAAAATACACTCACTCCCTTCCAAGATTCCCCTAAAGTCTCATCCTTTTACAGTAACACTTTCATATCTAAGATGTTGTAATCTAAAGATCTATGTACAGATGAAACGTCTTAGGTGCAATTACTCAAGTGCAGGTCCTTGCATATAGTTCCTCTCAATCTGAAAATCTATTAATTCAACAGACAAATTATCTGCCCAACATACGCCTAAAAGACAATGGTAGGACAGGAGGAGGATAAATGCTATATGATCTTCTTGTTCGAAAGTGGAGAAAATGAGAGAAATATAGCCATCAGTCCGGAGCAGGTTTGAAATCAAGGTGCGAACATTAGAAGTTCCGGGAGTATAACTTAGGACCTGGGAATAACTTTTCATGGCTCTTTGCTCTGCTATTTGAGGTCTTGGTTCTAATTTCTGAGTCATCTTTCCATTTTCATAAAAGGGAGGCCACATTTGCCATCTGTATAGTGTTTTCATCCTGTTTCCTGCCAGTGGAATTCTGGAGATCCAAGGGGCCTCTCTGCAGTCCAAGTTGGTGGCATTTCTGCCAATATAATTCTTTGGAAAACTTTGTAGGTCTCTTGTGAATCTTATTGGAGTTCACTCCATTAGATAAAAAGCACACTCACAATTCTCTCAGAGAAAATCTTCTTAAACTTCTGGTAAGGGATATGCCCTTACAAGCTTCTTATGAGCTCAATTATTTAGATTGAAAGGTTCTCTGAGCACCACCCCTTGGATCTTTCTGTAGTCTTAACGAAGGAATTTACAGTCACACCCTTGGCTTTATTCTTAAGACATTGCTTTTCTGAGGCGGGCTGGATCTGATCTTTGCCTGGAAGTCACTTCTTAGTTTTAGCAGTTTGACGTCCTGAGAAACTGAGAATTTTCTTTTTGTTTAGGAGCCCTTCCTTAGCTTATTTCTCTCCTCTTCTGTTCACCACAAGCAGTAAGAAGAAATTAGGCAACAGCTTTAATGTTTTACTTGAAAATCTCCTCAGCTGAATTGCCCAGTTCGTTCATTAGGTACATTTTCTGCTTCCCACATTACTGCAGGTGACACCGTGGCTGAACTCTCTGCCACCACCTAACAAGGATTCCCTTTTTTCCATTTTTCAATACAGTTTTCTTAATTTTCATTTAAGCCCTCACTGGCACAAAGGCCCAAAAGCCTTTAAGCTTCCAGTAACAGTCTCTTCAGGACTTCACTAAAACTCTCCTCAAAGACCTTCCAGTCTCCATTTACTGTCCAAGTCCAAAGTCACTCTCACATTTTAAAGTATTTATTATGGTAGCACCTCGTTTATGGATACCAAAATCTGTATTAGTGATAAATTATTCCCCAAATTAACGGCAAACATTTATTTCGCAGTTTCTTTAGGAACTCAAGAACCACTTAGATAAGTGGTTTTGGCTCAGCATCCCTCATAAGGTTGCAGTCAAAATATCAGCTACGGCTGCAGTCATCTGAAGGGCTTGTTTGGAGCAGAATGACCTGTTTCCAGGGTGGATGACTAATATGGCAATTGTCTGAAGGCTTCAGTTCCTCACCACATGGACATCTACATAGGGTTGCTTGCGTGTCCTCATAATATGACAAGTACACATCCCTCAGAACTAGTGATCCATGAAAGAGAGTCAGGCAGAAGCTGCAATGTCTTTTCAGACTTGCCCTTGGAGTCATACGCTGTCACTTCTACCACATTCTCTTTGTTAAGGTAACAACTCACTAAGTATTGTATAATCAAGGCAGTGGGGGGGATTACATTCCACTAAAATAAAAAATATTTAAAAATTTGTGAATCTACTTTAAAAACATCACAGCATGAAAAAAACAAGAATTAAAACTTAACATAAAAATTGCTCCTATTGAAATTACATTTAAACAGAAACCTATAATTAGGGTCTCCAATGACATTGCATATTTTCTATTTTATTATGAAAATAAAAGCTAAACAAGTACTTCAGTGTCTAATGAAGCTAAGATATAAACAACTCCTGTAGAGAAGGTTGTGTATGTGGGTGTGCGTGCATAAACTGTTGGACTGAGGGCACTGGAGATACCTTACTATGAAGCAAGGATCCCAAGGAGATAACAACAGAAAGGTTCTCTTGCTGCTTTTGTGATACAGTAATCTTCTTTACTAGCCTTCTTCTTGCTGTTTCTAACTTTTTACTATTTTGCCTGCATCTGTGAAGCCATTATTCCTCATTCATATCTTCCCACTGTTTTTACTTTACTCCCTGTTTTACTTTTACATACCAAAGCCCTGACATATATGGTACTACTAGTGAACATGATTATGAAAACAGACAACGGTTTTTACAAAACCCACTTACTACTATATGCACAAAGTCTTGCAAACAATTGTCCTATAGCACTTTTTAAAAATGCAATGTTATCTGTAGAAATTAGGTGAAACCAAATCAGACGAGTATAAAAATGAATAATCATTAAGGGACATAGTGTTAATATGTGAAAACTCATCTGTAAAAATTGAATTTTAAATAAATTACTTTCACCACAAAAGACGTATTATAAAAATGTTTCCGCCAGCCCCATATTTTGTTTGATGGAACTTTGGAAAATACTTAACTAAAAAATATACTTATTTTTGGATTGTAATACACATTTTTTACACCTAATTGCAACTCACTGTATTTTTAAAATAATAATTAACCGTCAACAGAGTAAACATATACACTTCTAAGAACCCTCAAATATACAATAGAGGATGACTAATTAGATTATATCCATTAAAAAAAAAGGAAAAGTGAAAAATTGTAAACTTGAAAAGTATTTAAGGACATAGAAAATATTACTACATATTTAAGTGAAAAAAAGCAGACTATGGTATAATGATACCATCTTAAGTTTATGCATTTACAGAAAAAATACCAAAGACCATATTTTAAAACATGTATGAAAGTTATAATGGATGGTAGCAAATTTATGTTTTATCCTTAAATTTTGCTGTATATCTCAATATATAGCTCCTTTCTAAAATAACTATATTTCTATTTTCTGATTTTAAAAGTATTAAACTATGTACATATTTTGCCATGTCTTTAAGCAACAACTATTTTTAAAATAATATGAATACTGGAATATTAACATAATATGTACACATATTCAGCAAACTTAAAAAATACAGAAAAATATTAAGAAGAAAGCAATATAGCTCTGATTCCCACAATCCAAAGGTAACCAACAAAACATTTATCATTTTAGCTGAGTAATGAAGATAACACCATATAATTTTTTTGCTTCTGTTGCTCAATATATTGCAAGCAAATTAATAAACAATATAATTTTTAGTGGTTGCATGACAGATATGCCTTAAAGTATTCAATCATTCCCATTATCCCATTGTTAGCTCTTTAGCTTCTCATTCATTATCAAATAACATTTTAAAATATATGTCCATATGACAAAATCTGTGTGTACAAATTTTTGTACATCTCTATTTCCTTCGTATACATTACTGGAAATTGAATCATTAGATCAACAGCCATGAATGTTTCTACTTTTAAGGCTTTTTAATACATACTGCCAAATTGCTTTTTAGAAAAAAATGTACCAATCTACAATTTCTTTAGCAGGGCATCAATCTGTCAATCTTACAGACAAAGGATGGAGCAATATCATTTTTTTAAACCTTTGGTCATCTGGTAACTAAAAATGTTAATTTACTTTAATTTATACTGCTTGCTGATTACCAATGAGTTAAAACATAACCGTGTCCATAAGCTTACCAGCAATTTGCAATCCTTTTCTGTGAATTTTTTATATAAGAACCTTGTCTATTTTTTTCTGGGAAATGAGGTATCTGGGATGGTTAATTTTATGTGTTAATTTGGCTAAGCTATTGGGCCCAGTTGTTTGGTCAAACACTAGTCTAGATGTTGCTGTGAAGGTAATTTTTAGATGTGACTAACATTTAAATTAATAGATACTGAGTAAAGGAGATTATCTTCCATAATGTGGGTAGCCTTATCCAATCAGTTTAAGGCCATAAGAGAACAGACTGTGGTCCCTCTGAAGAGAATGGATTTTTGGCCGGAGACTGCCTTCTGGCGCAAGACTGCAACATCAACTCGTGCCAATTTCCAGCATACCTGTCTGCCCTGTCAATCCCACAATCTTGTGAGCCAATTCCTTTAAAACACAAATAAACAAACAAACAAACAAACAAGAACTTCTCTTTCTATATATAGGTTGAGTATCCCTTATCCAAAATACTAGGAACCAGACTGTTTCAAATTTTAGATTTTTGAATATTTGTATAATGACATATCTTAAGAAGGGTATTCAAGTTTAAACATGGATTTCATTATGTTTCATATTCACTTTATATACATAGACTGAAGGTAATTTCATACACTATTTTTAATAATTTTGTGAAATAAAATTTTCACTGAGTTTTGACTGTGACTCAACACGTCACATGAGGTTAGGTGTGGAATTTTCCGCTGTGGTGTCATGTCAGCACTCAAAAAGTTTCAAATTTTGGAGCATTTCTGTTTTCAAATTTTCAGATTAGGGATGCTGCTCAACCTATTTGTACTTTTCTCTGGAGAACCGTGACAAATATTTTGTCTTCAAAATTTTCTTAGTATTATAATTTATGAGTTTATTTATTAAGGCTAGTGATTTCCTTCACAACCTTTATGTTTAGAAACTCCTTTCAAGCAAAAATACTTACTTGTAAGTCATCTGCTCCCTCAGCTTCATTTTTTGATTCAGGACATCCTAAGGAAACAGGTAATAGTTAATTAAGCTAAAATTCTGGTCTTAGATTTCAGTATTAGTAACTGATTATGTCATTACAACACTATGTAAGATTTATCAGAGATCATTCTGGACTCCCCGACAACCAGTCAGATATTGGCCACTTGTACTTGCCCCTTTGTTAGAATAACAGAGAACAAAGCGGTTATTTCCCCCTTCTACAGGTAAATTTCCAGTTACTTACTAAACAAAGATATTTTCTCTGAAAGTATATTATCCCCAGCAAGCTATATCCTAGATTTCTCCCAAATACCCAAGCTGCTAGGCAGATTTTATGATCACACACTCCTTGGGTTATTTAGGTGATAGTAACATGTGATTTATGCAATTTTCCTATATGCTCTGATCCAGGAAACAGTATTTAGTACCCAAAATCAGTATTTTAGCTGCTTTAGTTAAGAAAGAAAACAAATGAGTCTTATTCTACTATTGATAAGTAATGGCCAATTGTTGCTGTTGACTTTTGTGCATCAATGTCTCTGTATAGGTTTTCACAGTGCTCAAGAGTATCTTTAGTTCCAATAAATTAGTAAGAAAGGATTTGTCCTAGCAAGGTATTTTGAGTTTATGCTACCCTCCAGAAGACATAGCCAGCATGGAGTAGACATGAGACAAAAAATTTGCCCTTTGGAAAGAGTAGCATAGCTTATTCTTATTGTCATGGAAAGTTAAGTAAAAGAAAATTAATGAGACTGCTGAAAGTCCACATAGCAGGTGATAATAACGCTAACCAATATGTTAAAAAAATGTTCAAAAATAACAAGACAGGCTGAGTACTGCAGCCTATTCTACCTGGCCTAGAGTTTGTAAGCTCCTCCTTACAAATCGCTTCCTAAAACATTAAACCCAACCTATATGATCCTAGTGAAAGAAGAAAGAATACTCTCGTGGGATATGAGCATGGGCTTAAAAGTAATTCAAAACTTTAAAATAAATCATATAAATTCCAGCAGTCATGGATAATGATTTTTTCTTTAAAGCACTGGTTCTTCAAACCTGGCTAAAGATTAGAATCAACTGGGAACTGTTAAAAAAAATATACTGATGCCAGAGTATAGCCCCAAGCCAAAAACTGTCAGAATTTCTGTGGGGCAATGCACAGGACATCAGGCATTTTTTTAATATTTAAATTTCTTATCATTTTTTTTCAAACTCAAATTATAATCATTTTACTAGAGCAACAATTCCTCACCACATGTGAACTTTCTCAGTCGGAGCTTTTGAAAAATAAGAGATGCCTCAGCTCTGCCCCCCCCATATAGATTCAATAGGTCTAAAGTGGAGACCAGTCACTCTATTCTGCAAAAGCTTCCCAGGTGATTCTAATGTGCAGTCAAGGTTGAGAACACTGATCTAGGGACAATTTATGGGTTCTTACAAGAGAGATAAAATGATTACTATCATTTCATGGTAATTTTTTCTGGATCAGAAATCAAAAACTGCTTGTTTACCAAACTCTAATCTTTTAATGTAGCTAAACAAATTACTTAACCATAGTTTTATGCACTATCAAAACAGATTTGTACTAAACATTTCCATGCTCTTGCCTTTGGTTGGTGTCTCATAATTAGTTCATTTCTTCAACTTTTCCAATTAAAATGACATCTTCAAAATACACAAATTACAATGTGGTCTACCACATTTTAATTCAGTTACTTTGTATAGAAAGTTATTAATCGAGATAATTTTCCCAATTTAAGTAGGAAAAAAATCAAGTCTTAGTTATTTCTTCCTTTTTGAGAAGAAATGGGTTTTAATGTGGTTTTCGTTTAAATAAACACAAGCCAGTCTTATATGAAAAAACATTCTTCTTCCACTCAAAACCTATACGCTTTAGAGTTAATCACCGTAACAGACTGGCAAGATATACCAAAGGAATAGAACAGACAAGATTGTAGTCTCTGTCGATCCTCAATAATAAAATCAATCAAGTAAAGGATTTTGTCACAGACTAGCTAGAGTCTACATATATTTAAACATTGTAAGTTCTGTCTTTATCTAATTACCAAAAAAAGGGTGTGACTGTCATTAGAACACACATACAAGTACACATAACTGGGATTTTGACAGCTCTACCTTACCGTTCCCCTCTTCTTCAAGCTCTCATTTTAGAACATTTGAATCATCTGAAGGCTGTTGTTGATGGGCTCGAGAATACATACAATTGGTACAGACCGTGATGTGACAAATATAAATCAGTTTAAGGAGACTATTTTTTATCTTCACTTATTGTGTGAGCTTTCAAAGTCTGTTCACGTATCACAAAAGCTGATTTGCTTAAAGTTCGAGAACTACTTTGGGTCAACTTTAAAAAAGATAACCTCTACTCTGTATAACTAATAAACAAATTAAGAAAATAGTCAAGAATACCTACCTTGAGAAATATCCTCTATAGCTCTTCGAATGCCTCTATCAAAAGCCCTAGCATCAGCAGGACTTTGAAAGGTAAGGCCAAACTTCTTGTCATCAATCTTCCAGTGATGAAATGTTGGAGTGACCTTATTATAAATGAGGTCTTTTTTAAGCATACATTCCAAAACCACCTGTCAAAAGCCAAATGCCAAAAATTAATACACATATATCAAATGCATCTAATGTAGTTCTTAGATACAAACTGAGATAAGAAAAGCTATTAATAATTAAATAATTTAATATATATTTTAAATAAATTAATAAAAAGGTCTTGCTACTTAATTTACTTCACAAAGTCACTCAAGAAAGAGATTAAGATGAGATAAAAAAGATCATGCAGGCTGGGCACAGTGGTTCACACCTGTAATCCCAGCACTTTGGGAGGATCACATGAGGTCAGGAGTTCAAAGCCAGTCTGGGCAACACTGCGAGACCACATATCTACAAAAAATTAGGTGGACATGGTGGTGGGTACCTGTAGCCCTAGCTACTAGTGCCTGACGCGGAAGGATCACAGAGCCCAGGAGTTCAAGGCTGCAGTGAGCTATGGTCAAGCCACTGCACTCCAGCCTGGGCAACAGAGAGAGACCTTGTCTCTTTAAAAAAAAAAAAAAAAAAAAATCATGCGTATTGTAAACAGCATATTTATTATACTCCCATTTTAAAGAATACACACACACACACACACACACACACACACTCCTATTCAAAATTTTCAGAAGAATATATCAGGAATTACTTCGGGAAAGAGGCAAGGAGGTGATGACAATAGAAATTTAACTTTTTAAAGTCACTTTCCTGTATTTCTTAAAAGATCTATTAATATTTTGTTTGAGGATTTAATGGTTATAGCAGTACATCAAATACTCACTTTCCCACTTTCTCAGAATATGCATTTAAGTGAGTTACCTGACCTTTGAAAGCCTTAGTTTCCTCATCTCTAAAATAGGAATAGCAATATATCTCATAGTTTATATGGAAACACTGAATGTGCATTCATGCAAAAAGTTTCATGTAATGTTTGGGACTATATATCTTTGCTTTTTTTTTTTCATTTTTATTTTGAAATTATTTCAAATTTATAGAAAAGTAACAAGAATAATATAGAAAATTCCTGTGTGCCCTTTACCTGTATTTGCCACATTAATTTTTAACATTCTCTGTGTATTTCCATGTACAAACATTTATTTTACCCTGAACTATTTCAAAGGAGGTTACATATATTATGCTCCACTGCTCTTTAATACATATGTGAGTATATTTCCTAAAAGCAATGGTATTCTCTTATGTAATCACAGTACAGTAATCTAATTCAGGAAATTTAAAACTAACACAACACTTATCTAATCTACAGTCCATATTCCACTTTTCTACACTATGCTAATAACATCTTCTATAACATTCTAAAAAATTTCCAGTGCAGAATCCATTCCAGGATCACACATTATATTTAGTTATAATGTCTCTTCAGTCCATGTGGAACAGCTCCTCAGCCTGTCTTTCATGACATTCATTGTATAGTTTTAATAAATGTTAGATGTACTTATTACTATATAAAACAAAAGTGGGTCTATTAGTGATTCTTGCAATTAATCTAATTAATCAAAAATTAAAATTATACACCTTATTTTAAGAATACTCTGTAAGAAAGCAGGAGGAAAAGAATTAAAAATAATCCAAATAAAACCCAGATCCCATTATTCTACTTTACTGCTTCATAGCACCGCACTAATTAACAATCTCAAATTATTTTCGTTTACTGTTTATCCCTACTGCTAGAATATAAATGCTAGGAAAGTAGGGACTTGGACTTGTTTTCTACCTACTTCCTGTACCCTGAACAGCATGTGACACCTAATAAATGCTCAATAAATAGTAAAAGACTGAGAATCTTTTCACAACTTCCATTCTATTCCAATCACCATTATCACTTGCATGTCTTTTCCATGCATCTGTCCATAATTCCCTCAGATAATTTCACTACTGTGTAGGTGGAGTAGTAACCTTTATAAAAAATATAAACCTATTAGACCACTCTCTTGTTTCAATGTCCTGAAGGTCTTCTGAATGCTTTTAAGATCTACTAGGCAGTGCATGAGCTGGTCTTTGCCTGTTTGAGTTCCATTCTCACTTCCCATTCTCCCCTTGACTCTCCATGCTCAAATTGCACTGATCTGTCTTCTTTCATACCCTTCAGTGCCCTTGCAGTACTATTCCCTCTCTGTGGAATCCCCTTCTTCATCTTTACTTTATTAATACCTCCTACTTATCTTTAAGATCTCAACTCATATATAACTTCCTAAAGAAGGCCTTTCCTGATGTTTAGACTGGATAAGGTCTCTGGTATACATTATTAAATATATCTGTAATTTTTAAATTTCAACAATTATTTGATTAATGCCTATCTCCCCTATTTGTCTATAAATAGGGTGAGGGCAAAGAGTATGCTCCATTTGGCCATCACTATGCCCAGTCCCAGTCCTTAAACTACAGTAGCAGACATACACCAGGTACTCAACAGATATTTCTCTTCCGAAAAATGCATATATGTATAAATTTTCTGTATAAATTTTCAGACTTTATGCACTCCCCTAGAAACTCACCCACAGATCATGGAGTGGGAATCTCATTTATACTTTAGGAGTGATTCAGGTTCAACACAGGCACTGGTTTGCTAGAGCCTGTTTATACTGGCGCCTATGAGCCAGATATTAAATTTTCAGAAATTTTGCAAGCATTATTAAAATCAAAATTATGTAAGTTTACAATGAAATAAATTACATTTAAAAGAAAGTAATAAATTCTCAAAACTCATTACTTCCTAATTATTTTACTATACAATTACCTATGTTTTTGAGGGAGTTTATGTCTAGCATATCTGTATGATGGAAACACTATATAATGGTGTACTGTTGCTCATTTCTTCACGATGCCATATATACTGATGTCATATTGAAGGAAAGCAGTCGAGGTAGGGGTATGCAAATACTATAAATCATTGCCTTTTGTCCCTTCTTGAAAGCTGATTGTTAAAAATTTGTCAGTATACCACTGAATACAATGATTCTTGACAGTAAGTCTTATTAATTCGGGAATAAATAATCAAGAAAGTGACTAAGATTCAGTCTTATCTGTTTGTAGGCAATGCAATAAAACTGTCTCAAGAGTTTTGCTTTCTATAATTTGATGACTCGCCATGTATTAGAAAAGAATGAACATATATATTCAAGGCTTTTATGAGTCAGCACTTTGCTAAGGCATATTACACACAACAATCATTTTGCAACAACCACCACCATAATAATTCATGATTAAGTTCTAGAATTGAAGGAGAAGTAAATATTGGTGTAATGGGCTGCTGTAACATTTTTAGTATATTCATAAACAGTGGGGAAAGCTATGTTTTATAAAACAATGATAAACTGGCATTGTTTAAAAAGGAGAGGTCATAAAAAACTGAGTTTGATCCTACAGTTTTTATTATATAAAAAAATCACTAACTTTATTTTTAATACATGAAAATATTACTGAATAAGCCCCTCTTCAATTTTCAAATAACAATTTTTTTTAATTTATTTATTTTTTTGAGACAGAGTCTCACTGTGTTGCCCAGGCTAGAGTGCCATGGCGTCATCCTAGCTCACAGAAACCTTAAACTCCTGGGCTCAAGTGATCCTTCTGCCTCAGCCTCCCGAGTAGCTGGAACTACAGGCATGCGCCACCGTGCCTGGCTAATTTTTTCTATGTATTTTTAGTTGTCCAATTAATTTCTTTCTATTTTTAGTAGAGACGGGGTCTCGCTCTTGCTCAGGCTAGTTTCGAACTCCTGAGCTCAAACAATCCACCCGCCTTGGCCTCCCAGAGAGCTAGGATTACAGGCGTGAGCCACCGCGCCCGGCCTCAAATAACAATATTATTCAACCGTTTATTCTCGGATAAATAACATTTCAACATAATCTACACTAATCTTTATCTCTTGTTTTCAAATGTTATATATTTATAGAGCCTCCCAAAACTCACTGAAAAATGAGTTTTAAAAATGAGCTTTAAAATGCACTAAAGGAAATGGGAAAGGTAATGAACTAGCTCACTAACTCATACAAATAACCTATGGTCCACCTAAAAGTCATGAAAATATTGCGTCTAAACCTCATACCAAATTTCTGTTGTTTACTTTTATCTGTAAAATATCAGAAAGTAGGCCAGGTGCAGTAGCCTGGGACTAGCACTCTGGGAGGCCAATGTGGGAGGATGACTTGAAGTCAGGAGTTTAAGACCAGCCTGAGCAAGAGCGAGACCCTATCTCTACAAAAAATAGAAAAATTAGCTGGGCATGGTGGCATGCACCTGTATAGTCCCAGCTACTTGGGAGGCTGAGGCAGGAGGATTGCTCGAGCCCAGGAGTTTGAGGCTGCAATGAGCTACAATGATGCCACTGCACTCTAGTCAGGATGACAGAGCAAGGCTCTGTCAAAAAAAAAAAAAAACATATTTTGCTGTTGATATTATATATTTAATGTAATGTAATATAAAAAATTTAAGGAAAGGCTTCTATGGCAGTATCTAGCATGGATTTAGGAATAGGTAGTGGAACAGAAGAAAGGCAGGTAATCTATTGGCACAATCACCCAACATCTTTGTAGATAATTTTTAGGACATGCCTCTTAGAACACTCTGCATCAGTATTTGAATAGGGATTGCACTGACTCTATGGAACACTTTGGGTAGTACAGACATTTTAATAATGTTGATTCTGCAGATCCATAAGCATGGTGTATTTTTCCATCTGTTTACTTCCTCTGCTATTTCCTTCCTCACTGTTTCGTAGTTCTCCCTGTAGAGGTCTTTCACGCCTTAGTTAAATATATTTCTAGGTATTTTATTTTCTTTGTTGCTATTGTGAAAGGTACTGAGTCTTTGATTTGGTTCTCAGCCTGTTTTTGGCATATATGAATGCTACTGATTTGTGTACACTGATTTTGTAACCTAAGACTTTGCTGAATTTATTCATCAATTCCAGTAGTCTCTTGGCAGAATATTTGGAGTTTTCTAGATATAAGATCATAACATCAGCAAAGAGCGAGTTTGACCTCTTCTGCCCCCATTTGGATACCCTTGATGTCGACATCAT